AAGTTTCTGGGAAACACCCCACAGAGCTCTTCTCCATCTCTTCTCAAGAGAAGACTGCTTGGAAAATTGTGTTAGAGGTTTGCTTTCCCTCCTGGTTTGCTGGAGAGAGATGTTATACCTTACTTTTCACCTGAGGATAAAAAGCTATGCCCAGTTCTGAAGACACTGTTTCCTATAAAGTGAATATGTCCAGAAACCCTTCTGACAGGCTTTCTAAGCACTCAAACACTAGGTGATGGGACCACGAGAACTGAAAATGTGACTTTTGCTACACTTCTTTTATTTCAGTCCTTCAAGGAAGAAGGCCACTTGCATCATGAAGGCGTGTGCTCGATTAGTCTCTCTCTGGACTGAATGCCCAGCCATGGGACAAGGCAGTATTTACACAAAACACAGGAGGCACGTTAGAGCAGGAAATACAAGGGTAAGTAAAACTAGTTTCAGAAGAAAGGACTGGAAATTAAAGCTTTGCAGGCAGACTATCACTATTTAGAAACAAAGTTGTCATTATTTTGAGTCTTGTCTCGTGAATGACATGTGTATCCCAGTAATTTTCACAGCTGAGCAGCAACTTCTTTTTTTTTTTTTTTTTTTTTTTTTTTTTTTTTTTTTTTTTTGTTTTTTTTTTTTTTTTCCTTTCCTTTTTTTTATCCCCCCAGCAAGCAGCATGCAGAGCTGATATTTTAGCCTTTCAGCAGGGATGCCCCTCTGTGGCTTGCTCTCACTTCACTGCAGTACGTGATTCCCCATCGACACTGTTGTGGGGGTCACTGGCTGTGACGGGCATCTCTGACTCTACAGGGCTCGAGTCTCCCTACAGGTAGCACGAGTGTGATGAAAACCTTTAGAGGTGCTGTTATACGGCGAAACAGCAGCAGAACTCAGCCCGGCGCATCGCTCTTTGCTCAGCTGCTGTCCTCGCTGCTCCCGAGAGCGCCTTTCCCCAGGAGAGGGCAGTGGAGCCCGCACACGCTCCCGCTCCCCTCCCGACAGCGGCGGGAGCATCCGTTCCCTCGGGTGTTCCGTGGGAAACTCACGGGGTGAATGCAAGTAGGACAACGGATTTTATATATATGCTAGAAACCGTGTACAGGAACATCCAGGAAATTTTCTATGTGTTTAATAACGAGAAAAAGTTTTGAGCAAACAAGTTTGTTGTTGGCTTTATTTGACTGGAAGTTTTCTCGGTCACACATACTTGTTCACAGCCACACAAACTTAAACTAGTAGTTTATTTATTCCACATGGGTTTATTTAATTTCTATAGCCCGAATTAGAAAAAGTTATTGACATTTAAATAACCCTTCAGAAAGCTGCTACTGCTATCCTAAGCCAAGGACTCACAATAAAGTTATTTACTTATTTCAAATTTACAGGCGCTCATCCTAAGACAACAAGCAGCCTTGGCTGAAAACCACAGAGTGGTTTCAAGGTACTGTAATTAAGGGCAGACTGGGATGCCTTCTCTGCTCCTTAACCATCCCCTTCCCCTAGCTTGCCAGCAGTCAGCCAGCTGTTTTCTGTAAGTTCATGTTTACAGCAGGTTTCCCTGGCTGGATTCCAGTTTTTGGTGACTGGCCAGTGCAGACTAAGAGCCTATATCAGGCCTGTGAGGGGCAGGAAGGACTGACTGAAGGGAAGTGGCTTTGCCAGCAGCCTGAGAATCTACCAGACACCCCTGGCCAAAACAGAAGGTGAAATAGTAAACAAGCATTTCTTCCTGTGAGGGCATGACAAATCTTTCCCCAGTGCAAAGGGGCAAATTTAGGAAACTCTAAAATTCAGCTTTGGAGAGAAGATTTTCTCTTTTACATTAAACATTAAAAACCCACCAACCCCAACGTGAATCTAGCCCAGACTTAGGACAGACATTCTTTGCTGTTGTCAGGGTCATTCATCTCCAATCTGTAAACAACTCCCTGTTCCCAAATGAGTTCCTACTCCCTAGGGCACCTGCTGAGCTGGGGCCACCTTAACCCTCCTGAAAGCAGCAGGATGCAGAGTGGAAGCAGCAGGGTGTGTTTCCCATGCAGGCCTGTTAGCACAGGAGGTCGGGTGAGTTTTGCTGCAAAAGCATAGTAACCCCCTGGAGAGATGACTCAAATGTGTGATGCTAAGCTGGTTAAATGTGTTGCCAGCTCTGCAGATGATAAGCTGCCTTTTCTTCCTCAGCCACTCTCAACTCAGGTACAGAGGCAAAGATGATTTTATTTCTACAACTCATGTCTCAGGTACTGGTGGTAGAGAATGGATGCAGGAAAATATACCCCCAGTGCAATGTCAGCTAGCAGCTTGTTAAAAGAGTAAATACAGTAAATCCAAAGGGGCCCGGTTTCAAAGAAGTTTGGAATAGGAAGAAGTTCTGCCTTTCAGCTCTGAACCATCCAAAATCACTGCTATATCCACTAAGAGGCCATGCATATTCGAGGCTCTTGGTGTGATTGGGGATTTGGCAATTTGCACCAACAATCTGTCAGTCATATGAAGCCATGTGGTTATAGGAACCACAGAGGTCAGTAGGATATTTCTGCACGTAAGGGCCATCGACGTCAGTGTGAGCTGGACAGTCCAACTTTCAGAGTCTGCTGTAATCAGCCAAATGGGGATCAAAGGTACAAAGCACATGCAAAGCAATACAGCAAGGATATCTGAAAAGGGCCCAGAAACATTTGAGTTTCATCTGTCAACAACTTCCTGAAACTGAACATTAAGTATGCTTCCATCTTGCCCCACACCAGATCCTGCTGCCATTGAGACAAAGCCCCCATTGAAAGATATCGAGTGATTTGATTGTCCCTGGAAAGGCTGGAAATCAGACACAATTTATTCTATTATTAAGAGGCCTTTAAAAATTAACCAGCCAAGTCAACTACAGTAGTATTCCACAGGTGAAGTTAAATTTTATTTCTGTTGGTCTTTCATTCAATCCTTTTCCATAGTGGAAGAATATTAAATTAGCCAAGTTAGTTCAAAGTTAGAGTTGATTTATGGGGGGATTAAGATGGGGTGTGAAACTTTGGTTCTCCTTTCTCCTGTGTGCATTATGATTTACTGTCATCAGTGGGCATATGGTATTTTGGATTAATACAAGATGATGTAGAATATCCATAAGCCCTAAATCTGAGATATCTGCAATGTTTTGCAGTAAGGAGAATACTGCACTTAGAGTTACTGTTTCTCAAATTCATGTAAAGTAACTCACCCCACTGCACAACAGATTCCAATATTTTGTTCTTTCATAGTAGCGATTAGACCAATTATAGCTCAGCTGTAACAGAATGGTACAATACAATTGCTCCTACTTCTCAGTCAAATTTCCCAGAACCTGTCTCTCTGTCACACTTTTAAATTTTACTTTTAAATTGAGATGGTTTTTAAAATGAAAATATCTAGAATCCCACTGAAAGCTTGCTTTCAACTAAATCTCATATGTCAAACTGTATTGGCTGTACATTAAGTGCTAGAGAGGACTGGTAACAAAAATCTATGTTAAAAACCAGTGTTACATATTTATTAATTACTGTGCATACTTCCCTGATCTCTCATCAAGGCAAATACCTGGCTTTATGCCTACTATTCCTTAGCAAATGCCCCTAAAACCTTTATTTTTCCAGGAATGCTGCTGTCTAGGACTCCGTGGTGTGGTGGCTGGACAAGTAATGAACCTGGAGCATCACCGAAGGCAGTGACCTGGAGGAACTGAAAGAGCCTTTCCCAGCTGGGGTGTGAGGTGTGGCATGGATACAGAGGGTCCTGAGAGACACTGTGACGGTGCTTGGGAGCCAAGGCAGAAGGTAAGTCTATACACCACAGGGATGCCTGAGCACACCCCTCTTCTGCGGCACAGGCTGTAATGTATTAGACCTGTAAACACTGGTAGCTGCAGTTAAAAATGAAAGTGAAGAGTTTTTAGCCTTCCTCTGTATTCTCTGGCTTGTTGCTTTGGAACAGGAATGCACTGTCATAATATCTCTCATATGTTGCCATGTCTTGCTGCTGCTTGGGTTGTCAATGGGTTGTTTTTTTCACTGCAGACTATTGAAAAGGGGCCTCGCACGCTACAGACCATATGTGAGAGTTGCTTTCCTAAATGCAGTAATAAACAGCCACAAGATGAAATATCCCCAAGTAATGAGATTAGTGACACGGGATACAGCTTTCAAAAATAATTACATCTGACACCCTCATCAGCAAGAAGATGTAGGGGCTGCAAGCTCTAAGCTTGGGAACAGCATATGAAAGATTGGCTTCTCCTGGGAAGGGAGGCACAAGGGAGGTTATTTTTAGTACTTTGGAGGAAAAAAAAAAAAAAGCCAGAATTTAAGCACTCTTTGGTTTGATACCCTCGTTATGGAGGAGATCATGGAGAAATAAAGCAAAAGCGGCAGTGGAAATGTTACTGAGGATGGAAACTGTGGGAGCACGAGGCTGAACGGAGCAAAGCGGGAGCGGTAGGGTCAGAACAGAACGAGGTGGGGCGGCGGGGGGGCACTCCTGTCCCCCCCTCCCGGTCCCGTCCTCGCTTGTGCCCGTCGATACAATAACAACCCAGCGACGGCGGAGCAGGCGGTTCCGTTTTCGCGACGGTATATATAGATCAGACACTTTCCAAAACAAGCAGCGCCGCCGAGTCGCTCTGTTCGGCGGCTCTTTCCACCCGTAATTCAGAAAAAAAAAAAAAAATATTTTTTAAAATTACTTTTTCTTTGACAAAGGAGAAGCTCTATTCCGTGAATGCGGCTGTTTCCTGAGCCGCCGCCGGTTTGCGGTTACAGTGCTGAGAAAGTGAGCGGGGTCTGGCGGGGCGGCCCCGGGACCTCCTCTGCTTTTCCGAACCTTTTAAAAATTTTCCGGAACAAGCCCTAAAAGGGCAGGAGGGGCGGGGCCGGATCCTCGCCTTTTTAGGACAAGGGCCCCGCCACCGGAATACCCCCCTGGGCGGCGCGGCGGGCGGTGGCGGGGGCCGAGCGGGGCCGGGGCGGGTCGGGGCCGCCCCCACACGCGGGCGCCCACGTGACCGCCGGGCCCCGTTCCTCAGTCCTTATATGGGCAGTGACGTCCCGGGCATTCAGGGGGCCCCCATAAATAGTTACCGCCAGACTTGTCCTCCAGCGCGAGCTGCGGCGGGAGCGCGGCGCTCCCGGGGCACCGCGGGCACCGCACCGCCGCGACGGGGCGGCCGCCCGCCCGCACATGCCGCGCCGGCTCCCCGCGGTCCCCCCGCGCTGGTAGTGGGAGGCAGGGGGAAGCGCCCCCTCCTCTCCCTCCCCTCCCCGCCCCGAGTGCCCACCGCCGGCCGGGAGCGCCGCTCCCCCGGCCGCCCCGCTGCCCCCATGATGACCGCCAAGGCGGTAGACAAGATCCCGGTGACCCTCGGTGGGTTCGTGCACCAGCTCCCCGAGGCCATTTACCCGGCGGATGACATCTCCGCCGCGCTGCCAACTTCGGTCGCGATCTTCCCCAATGCCGACCTGGCAGGGCCGTTCGACCAGATGAGCGGTGTGGCAGGAGGTAAGCGGAGCCCTCGCAGGTGCGGGCCGGGCCGCCCGCGGAGAGCGCCGGGGCGGCGGAGACTCGGGGCGGCGGGCGGGGGTCGGACTGGGACGGGGCGCCGGACCCTCTCCGGGGCTCTCCCGCCGCCCGGCCGGGTCCCCGCCGCCCGTTCGCGGCAGCCCTACCTCCGCACCCAGTTCGGGGGGGAAAGTTGCAGTCGGCGCGGAGCCCCCCTGCATCCGGAGCGCAACATGTGCGCGCCGCAGCCCCGCGCTGGGCCGGGGCGGGCGGTGGCTGGGACCGGTGCCGGTCCTCCGGCGGGTGGCGGCGCGGAGGGCTGACCTGCTCCTTGCCCCCCCAGACGGTATGATCAACGTGGACATGGGCGACAAGCGGGCCCTGGACCTGCCCTACGGTGGCGGCTTCGCGCCCAATGCCCCGGCTTCCCGAAATCAGACCTTCACCTACATGGGCAAATTCTCCATCGACCCGCAGTACCCTGGCGCCGGTTGCTACCCCGAGGGCATCATCAACATCGTGAGCGCGGGGATCCTGCAGGGGGTCAGCACGCCCTCCTCCGCCGCCTCCTCCGCCGCCTCCTCCGCCTCCTCCGCCGCCTCCTCGGTCACCGCCGCCTCCGCCACCTCCCCCAACCCGCTGGCCGGGGCCCTCGGCTGCACCATGGCACAGGGCCAGCCAGCCGACCTGGAGCATCTGTACTCTCCTCCGCCGCCGCCCTACTCGGGCTGCGGTGACCTGTACCCGCAAGACCCCTCCTCGGCTTTCCTGCCCGCCGCCGGCGGCGGGGCACTGCCTTTTCCCCCGCCGCCCTCCTACCCCTCACCGAAGGCGGCGGCGGCCGACGGCGGGCTCTTCACCATGATCCCCGAGTACGGCGGCTTCTTCCCGCCGCCTCAGTGCCAGCGGGAGCTCCACGCCGGCCCCGACCGCAAGCCCTTCCCCTGCCCCCTCGACTCGCTCCGCGTCCCGCCGCCCCTCACGCCGCTTTCCACCATCCGCAACTTCACGATGGGGGCGCCCCCGGCGGGCGCCGCCCCCGGCAGCGCTCCCGGCAGCGGCGGAGGCGAGGGTGCGGGCGCCCGGCTGCCCGCCGGCGCCTACAGCCCGCACCACCTGCCGCTGCGGCCCATTCTGCGGCCCCGCAAGTACCCCAACCGGCCCAGCAAGACGCCGGTCCACGAGCGGCCCTACCCGTGCCCCGCCGAGGGCTGCGACCGCCGCTTCTCCCGCTCCGACGAGCTCACCCGGCACATCCGCATCCACACGGGCCACAAGCCCTTCCAGTGCCGTATCTGCATGCGGAACTTCAGCCGCAGCGACCACCTCACCACCCACATCCGCACGCACACCGGCGAGAAGCCCTTTGCCTGCGACTTCTGCGGTAGGAAGTTCGCCCGCTCCGATGAAAGGAAGCGACACACCAAGATTCACCTGCGCCAGAAGGAGCGAAAAGGAGCCGCCGCCGCCGCCGGCGGGTGTCCGCAACCCGGCGGCGGGAGCGGCACCGCCGCCCTGGCCCGGCGGGTGTACATAGGGGCTGCGGCGGGAGGATGGATGCATGCAGTGCCGTCGTGGTGAGGTGTCCTTGGTGCCTTGTGTGGTGTAGAGCCCGGTCCCCTGTCTGCATGTGGGGGGTGCCTTACCGATCCGCTCCGACGACAGCGGCGACACCGAGTCCGGAAAGTTTTTCCCTCCCTGGTTTTAGTATGGCTGTACATTTCTGCCTATTAATATTGGGATTTTTTTTTTTTTTTAGAGACTATATTTTTGTACGCACTGGTTTGGGGTTTTGGTTTTGTTTTTCTTTTTTGGTGACTTAAAAGTGTTCCGTTTGTAGTAGGACTTGGGACAGGATGTAAATACTCGGGCTGGGACCGGCGCCCGTGGTCGGCCGGGACCCAGCGCGCCGCAGGTAACACGAATAATGCACAACCACTAACGGGGGCTGGAAGGAGAGGGGGGTATCTTTCTGGCCACTCTGTAAATAAACTTTTCGACAATAGGGTAGGTGCTTACAAAGTTTATAAAAGACGACAAATAAATCTCTTAATTATGCTAAATTGACATCTTTATTTCCGTAGGTTCCCTGGCCTGACCCAGGGAAGGGGTGTCCCCCGCTCGTCCCCGACCCGTGCCGCGTCCCGGCGGCGGAGGGCTGCGGGGCAGCCCGGCCGGGGTCCGATGGGCGCACCGCACCGCCCCGCAAAGCCTCGGCGTGGAAAACCTGCGGCCTCGGCCCCAGCGTACAAACACTCGCTTTTGGGCGCGGGAATTTCCCTCGGAGACGAGAGACGGGATAATATTAACCAGGGAGCGGGGTGGGTTTTTTTTTGACTCATTCTGTTTTGTTCCGCGGTTACGATCCGCCCCAGGCAACCTCCGCGAGTGGGCTCCGGAACAGTGAGTACCGCCGCCCCGACGGCCGCCGCTCGGGGGAAGCGGCTCCCGGCGGCGCGGAGCTGCGCGGGCGCTCCGCAGCGGCCCGGGGCGGCGGCGCTCACCCCCGCGGCACAACCGGACTGTTTTTGCTGAACCCACATGGCCGCAATATCGTGCTTTTTTTTTTTTTCTTTTTTTTTGTAAACTTATTTTGGTTTTTTAAATGCTATCCCGGCCTCGGCCCACCATCAGGTCCTGCCATCGGTGCAGGGCCGTAAGCGCCCCGCGGGCTTGTCCCTCTGCACACAGATCCCTGGTGCGGCCCACACTGCAAAAGTGAGCTGTGCAGGATGAACATCACTAACACCACAGTCCAGCACAGCGGGGCGAAGGGGTTAAGCCCTTTCTTGGTGGTTCCCAGCCGCTGCTTGCCCAGGTGTTAGGTCCCATAGTGCAAAGCCCCAGCAGCACCTGCCTTTTCTGTCAGACAGAAATCCCTGCTCCCCATTTTCTGGAACTCATGCTGGCTTTTGGGGCAGCTACTCTTCAGTGGGAGCTGAAGTGACATGTCTGGTTTTGAATCAAGACAGCTTTTAAAGTTGGGCATGGACTAGCCTCTGCAGGAGAAGCTGCGCTCTCTGCCCTGCCATTCACCTTAGCAGCACAAGTAAGCCTTCACATCCTGGTTTGCAGTTTTGCCACCTGATCCCACGTGGTCCTGGCTCCCAAGCGACCACAGCCAGCTGGAGGGATGTCATACAGAAGCTGCAGCCTCCTCGACTGCGGGCTTCTGCAGGTACCGCCACAGCCTTGGATAACCACAGCTCACAGCCAGAGCATCTTGAGCAAAATTGGTATCTCAGCTACCCAGACACACAATCCAAGGCTCCCCCTGCACTGTCCAAACTACTGTCTCTAGCCATGCTACAAAACTAAAACCCAAATCAAAAGCAAAAATGATATCAACAACACTGAAATCATAAAAGGCGTGAACTAAGGAAACTGCTGGTGACTAGTGTACGGCTACAAGAGCACCTCACATGGCACAGTATCAATGGTCCTACACTCCTGCCTGTGCCTTACACTGAGAGCCAGCTTCAAAAGCATCAATAGTGTACGTGCCTGGATTTGCCCGCAGGATCTGGGCTGAGAATCCAGTGCCAAGCATCGCCTCCCAAGGAAAAGCCGGTCACACTGTTCGGACTGTCAGGCGAAACTAGAGCTCGGTACCGTGCTTGGCTCAAGGCTGTCATACTTGTGAAGGAAAGTAATGACTGGTCACTGGTGAGATATCTTGTATTTATTTTACAATTCAGCAATAATAGTTATTTTGCTGTTGTGAAAACACAATAACCAGACTGCAGAGAGAAGGAATGGCATTACAGACTTAAACCTTCTGCTTACAGATATCCAGAACATAGGAAGTAAGTTTCAATTAGTGAGTAAGCAAGAAGTTACACAAAGAGGCTTTTTAAAAAAATGCATCTCAGGTTTTCTTTGCTATTTTTCCAGCTTTAAATACTTTGGTACTAACACCTTAATTAAAAAAAAAAAAAAAAAAAAAAAAAAAAAAAAAAAAAAAAGAGGAAAAAGGGGAAAAAAAAAGGTTTTGCCACGGTTAACTAGCACTCTGCACCATGACCATGCTGTCCTCTTCAGAAAGATGCATTAAACTGTCCCACTAAACATCTTGAGTAGGTTTTACACATGGAGGAGAAAAAATAAAATCTCAGCAGAAAGACCTAAGGGGAGGAAAGAGCAGATAGGATAAAAAATGCTCACTGTCGCAGTTTGTTTTTCCAGTACAGCTGTTTGCATGCACCATGCTGTCCTCTTTGTGGACTTCTGAAAAAGGATAACTGTCTTTGTTAGGCTTGGAGAGAGGTAGAAACAGGCTGTAACACAGGGAGGCATTGCCTTATAATTAATGACTACATTCGATCAAGAATTGTTAAACATTAACTAATGCTAAGCTGCAGGGGAATTCCAAGAAAAAACAGGTAAGCCAGCTGCAGAAATATCAGACACCTTTAAGTGCTCAAAGAATAAATGGAAATTGCCTGAAATAATTTCTACCTATTTTTTCCTTGCAAAACAATTAATCCATGCATGCATAATGCTGATTGTGTATTACATTCATTCTTTCACAGGCCAGGGAAAAAAAATAGCAGCAATGCCATATCAGAATCATTTAAAAATTCACACATACAAGCCACTGTACAGGAAAAACAAGTCTGCTTTTATAAATACACAGAAAAGTAAAGCCAGCTGTGAAATGATTTCTGGAGCAGGCTGGTACATCACTTAGGAGGTTGCTGAGTCGCGTTTTCTTACTCAAATTCTCAATCAGGACTAAGATAGCCAAGGCTGCCCTGGCCTGGGTTTGTGGTACGAAGTGTGTGTTAGGATGAACAGGCACAAGACCAGTCCCTGCAGCACAGATGGGGCACCTGACCTACAGAAAAACTCTCTCCTGTGTTAGAAAGACTGCATCCCCTTCTGTGGACAAACTGCATCTCCAGAGCGCTTCCATCATAGCAAGGCAAAATTCATGGTGTCTCTTCTACTCTACGTTTATTTAAAAGCCTTATGAAAAATTAGTCTTTATAAACAGTATAAAGAAGGAAACTGCAAGGCTTCAAAAGCCCAAAGCGTTCACATATAAAAACACAGACCACGCTTTAAAGAGAAGACATCAGGTCAAATCTTATCAGTACCTAGGGTATGCGCTGCTGTATACTGAGGGTTTGCAAATATGCCGTGTTTCTAGAATAGCTTCCACAACAGTGGATAGTTGTTTTTTCTCTTATGGTGCCCAGTTTCTGCCACCTTCTGCCACTGCAGCGTTAGATGTTCCAAGCGAGGTTAATCAGCAGCTGTCTCCTTCTTGCTGAAGGAAGTATGCATAGATGCACTCAGTAATTCTCAGTTGCAATAGTGAGATCTTGTATATGACACTTGAAAGAACTGTTGAAAAGTAACTCTGAACCTGACAGTGTCCATTACTTTGGAGAAGTAATTTCCTTAACTCCAGCCCTGGGGATTGACCACTGGCATTTACTGGAGGAGCATGTCCTGGCTCAGGAGTTGTTCTGGATTTGTTATTTATTAGCAGGGTACAGCTCTTCTTGAGAATCGCTCTGGAGACAGTCCCCAAAGGCCGTAGCCAGACCAACCCCCCTTCCCAGACTCAGTGGGTACAGTCCCCATGTCCCGTGGTGCCAGCTGGCTCTAGCAGTGGGAGTCCCACTGAGAAGAGCCGGGGCACGCTGTGATAATTCTTATTGCATTTACTCTCCCTTTGGAGCCTGAACTCCCCTCCCTGAGGCGTGGCCCTAACTATTTACACAGGATGCTGGAATATTTCCGCGACCCTTCAGCTGAGCAGCTTAATCATGCGGCTCCCGCACATCGGCCCCAAGGGCATAAACACATTCTGGCGCTTTACTTCTCCGACTCACGAAGCCCGCGAGCAGAGGAAGGCTCTGACCCACGGCGCTCCCGCGAAGCTCCAGCCAGCACGGGACACCGCGTCCCCGCGGTGCTGCTGTCCGGCGGGCTCGGGGGGCGGCCGGGCGGGGGGCGGCGGGTTCCCCTCTCGGCGGGGCGAGCGCACACCGTCCCTAGCGGCCGCCGCCCGGCACGGGCCGCCGGCGGCGACTCAGAGGCAGACGCGAGGCCCAGGGTAGGGCTCGCCCCCGCACCAGAAGTCGGCGGCCTGCGGGGTCTCCACCAGCCACACCTCCCGCGGCAGCGCGGGCGGCTCCGCGCCCGCCGGCGGCCCCTCCAGCAGCCGGTAGTAGTGGCAGTCCCGGCCGTGCTGGGGGTCGTAGGGCGGCGCCAGGATGTCGAGAAAGGCGGCAGGCCCGTCCACAGCGTCGATTTGGTGCAGGTTGTCGGTGTGCGGCGAGAGCAGGCAGGGCGGCGAGGCGCGCGTGTATTGCTGGCGGGAGCGGAAAAGGGCGCGCAGGCACGGCCCGCTGCCGGCGGCGGGGGGCGGCGGGGCGGCGGCCGCCCCGGCGGGCAGCGTGTCCATGCAGGCGATGCGCAGCGTGCCGTACAGCACCTTCAGCATGCCGTTCATGCCCGGGTGGTCGTGCAGCGGGATGCAGGCGCCGCTCCGCAGCAGAAACACGCCCATGCTGAAGCTCTCCGTCTCGCAGATGTGCATGTAGCTGACGGGAGGCACCACGCCGGCCCACGGCGGATCCCCGCCCGCCGCCGCGGCCGACGGCCCCCGCGGCGCCAAGTGCAAGTCCTCGGCGCGCACCTCGTCCAGCAGCTGCTGCAGACGGTGCAGGTTCTCCCCGAAGGCTGGGCCCGCCGGGCTGCGGAAGGTGATGCGCGCCTGCCGCGCCACCCGCTGGATCAGGGAGGCCATGTTGTCCCGGGGCATGGCGGCAACGGCCCGGCCCGGCCGCGGCGGGCGGGGCCCGGCTCCGCTTCCGCCACCGCCCCCCGGCCCGCCGCGCAGCCGCGCCGCCGCCGGGCACCACGGGGCTCGTAGTCCGGGCTGGGGCCCCGCCGGGGAGCGCGGAGGAAGGAGAAGGAGGGCAGCTGAGGTGAGGGGGCGCGAGGGGCCGCGGGGCCGGCCGGCTCCCAGAGCTTGTGGCGGCTGCCATTGTGCGCTGAGGGGAGACGGGCGTGAGGGGAGACGGGCCGGCGGGAGCGGCCGCTGCCCCGGGGCTGAGGGGTCCCGCTCCCCGAGGCTCTGGCGCGGCTCTCCGGGGGCTGCGCTGGGGCCGGGGAAGTCACGGCAGTAAGTTGCCCATGCCAGGCGTTTCATCCCCACCACTGTGAGGGGCTGAGGAAGCACAGGAGCAACTTGTTACTTGGCTTGTAGTTAAGCCATGTAAAACTGAGCGACGTAGTGCAGGTGCAGTGTCATGGGTGTATAGCAACTGCCCATAGACAATTCATCTTTAATCACTAACTGCTTGATAAAACCACGCCATTTGGGCAAATTTATCAATTTGAGTTTTGTGGCACTGCCTCTTTCATTTCAGCATTGGGTCGAGGTCGTGCTGCACGGCAGGTACTGTCCTTCATGCATCTCCTTGTGGTCACTTCTGAGTGTGATTGTGTCTGAATTCGTTATCTTTGACCACAGGTGAACACCGACGAGCACACAGAGTTCCAGATGCTGATCCTCAGAGAATCACAGAAAGGATGGATAATCTTTTGGCTCAGCTCCAGCCTGGTGGAGCCTGCGTGTGGTTGTTTCAGGCTAATGTACAAAAAGGGTCCTGCATTTATTCTGCCAGGTTTTTATTTAATTTGTATATTTGTGGCAACGATCCTATTACCTTCTTTCTAATTAGCATGGCTGTACATAGCAGATCATGCCTAAAAATTCTTATTTTTGAAGTCAGAAGTTAACCTTTTAGTGCTGGGATTTTTTTAAACAAGGTTAGGCTCTGGTCACAGAAGTATATAGACTCATTCCACCTTGAGTTCAATTACTTGCATGGGTGTGCAGCATTTAAGTACCGTGGCAGATCTAGGTTCTGAGAAACAGCTGAATGATATTACATAATCAAATATGACTCCAGGGACTGCAGCCTGCCAGGTTAGAAAATTTCTTTAAAACCAGGTAAACCAGTGTATTTTCTTGATTACAGGCAAACTCAAGTTGTAAGATCTGCATTAAGCTTAAGTAAGATACAGTATTCTTACACATTATCATAGAATGGCTTGTGTTGGAAGGGACCTTAAAGATCATCTGATTCTTGGAACATGGCACCATGGGCAGGGATGCCACCTGCTAGATCAGGTTGCTCAGGACCCCATTAAACGTGGCTTTGAAGACTGCCAGGGATGGGGCATCCACAGGATCTCTGGACAACCTGTTGAAGTGTATCATCGCCCTCACATGAATGATGAATACTCTACATGAATCAGAAATACAACTGTTGTGACAAGTGATGGCCCGCTAGAGGTTGACATACTGATGCTGTAGACAAAGATGTGTCTTGGATCTTTTTTTCCCAAACTGTTTCCTGCCCTCTATAAAAAAATTTGGTGCACAGAATGCAAATTCAGGTCATGACATCTCTCTCCACAGAGAAGGATGTTCATTTGACTTGCTGCTTTCAAGTTCCACCTGAAGCTACAAAGCACTGCAGTCTTCAGCTGTTTGTCAAGTGCTAGGTGATTTGCCTGTGCCAGTGTTGGGAGCACAGGGTGAAGATGTGGTGTGTATTTCTGTACTTGGCAGGATGTTTAGCATGAGGGGACATTATCCCAAGTGGAGAGGGAGAGTCTTTAAAAGGTCTGTGAGCCTTCCTGCATGGGAATGAACTCCTGAGGACACTCATCACTGTTGCATTGGGTGACAACTGGCGTTTTGTCTGAAGCAGAGGGATTGGAAGGTTCCATGTTCAGTGTGCTCTTCTATTCAGCCCCCTTCACAGGGGCAGGCAATTTAATTGTGAAGATGTGCACTGGAATTTTTGGCAGTGCCGTTATCAGTGATAATGATAAATTCTTTATTGGCCACCTATTTGTGTCCTGCCCCAATGATTGCACTTTGCTTGCAAGTGAGTGCTAGAATACTCACTTTTGGACACACTGGTTCTTTTTCTACGCAGCACAAAAATCAGATCTTTTGTGGAAACAATGATTGCTATTTGTTGTACGTGTGTATTTGTGTGCTTGGAGTAACTTGCAGTTGAAGAAGAGATCAGCAGGGAAAAGCAGGATCCTGAGTGTGAACTCAGCTTGCTCTTGCCTTGCTGAGAGGTATTAGGTGAGTTATTTGACCCTTTCACTACTTATCTCTCTGTAAACCATGAATCATAAGTTCTACGTACAAGGATGTTTATTAAGATTTTAAGAACATCTTTACGTGGACAATCCTGGTGCCATGTTAAACTAGTGATGAGGTTTATATTTTGTCTAATTGGTCACCTTGTGATCACCAATGTTTTTAACTGCTGTATTGATTGCCATTTCTAACAGACAGACAAAAATATATTAATGTTCCAGTTAAATCCTGTATCACACCCACATTTTTTTTCAATGTAGTGATATTCAAATAAACCCACAAACCAACCTCAACAGAAAAGCAGACTGTCCAGCCAACTGGCAATTAAATTGACATGTTTTTTCTTCTGAAAGGCCATATTCTTAACTGGCCTCTACTATCTTGAGCATATGTGAGAAAAAAAAATCATCTTGTTGCTTGGCTAGGCTTTGGGACTGCATTACGTTGATCATGCAATGACCAAAGTTCAGCTGGAGGTTTTATGATACAACCAGTGAGCAGGAGGTCAAGTTCAGGTTGTGGTTTTGGTCTCCTCCTGTGTTTGTTTTGTTTTTCCACACACTGAAAGAGAACGGAAATGTCCCAGCTGTTTTCTCCTGCCCAACCCCACTACTTTCATTCTCCTCCCCTTTCTACCTGGACTCCAAACTGTGAACAACTTCTTGCTTCTTTGTTGCTGTTACATATTACAGCTCCCTCCAAGTTTGTGAAAAACCCTGATTAATTCTAGCTTTCTTTTAGGGGTTGCTCCCCGCATCCTCCCAATTTCTTTTGAGAAGTTAGAATTCCCTGTAACCATCAGATAAAACCATCTGTAGTGGATGAAAATGTCAGCTGCTTGTGTAGCAAGTCAGTGCTACTGTTGCTAAATGTTGTGTCACAAGGCCAGAATTTTTTACAAGAGCTGGAGTTTGGACAGGCAGTACAGAAACCATCCTCCATTTTAATGTTGCCAACAGCTGCAGATGTCTACTTGCACAGGACAAAACCCAAGAATCTCTGCCAAAGAGCATCTCTTTTGCACTGTTCCTTTCCCTGGATCTTCAAAGGTGTTTTGCTGTTTTGTTTTAATAGCTGCCATCAGTCGAGGAGCTAGATAGGAATGCTAGCCAAACGTGACTCAGATGAGAACAGGACTAAAACCAGAGAAGACAAACAACATGTCTGTAATATTTTCTGGCTCTCCAGTAAAGGCTTACGTAAAAGAAAGTTGGTTCTCAATTATTCATCAGAGAATTTGTATATCAGGAGAAACACAGGGGAGTGCTAGATATAACTGCACTGAAATCAAAAGGGGAATTAGGTTCATATATATACCAAACATCAAGCAGATCTATGCAACATTAAGACTCCCACCCACCTTTACCACTTCTTTACTGAGATGCATCCTGCATTCTATTAACTGCTGGAGAGAGTCCAGAGGGGGCGACCAAGATGATGAGAGGGACAGAGCAACTCCCCTGCAAGGAAAGGCTGAGAGAATTGGGTTTGTTCAGCCTGGACAATGGATGTGGGTGACAATGGATAGGGGTGACCTAATTGTGGCCTTCCAGTACCTGAAGGGAGGCTGCAAGAGGGATGGAGACAGACTTTTCGCTGAGGCTTGTAGTGACGAGACAAGGGGTAATGGCTTCAGTTTGAAAGAGAGTAAATTTAGAGTAGATATTATGAAAAACATGTTTACTGTGGGTGTGTTGAGGCCCTGCACAGGTTGCCCTGAGTGGCTGCCCCATCCCTGGAGATGTTCAAGGCCAGGCTGAACTGGGCTCTGAGCATCCCGGTGTAGTGCAAAGTGTCTCTGCCCATGGCAGGGGAGTTGGAACTAGATGTAGATGATCTTTAAGGTCAGCCCCTACTCAGGCCATTCTATGGTTCTATGAACCACATAATTCACCCCTTGCTGACTCTTCATGTATTGTAGCTCCTCAGTTAAATGCACTGTTTCTATGTAAAGCACATCATTAATGGGTTTTATTGACAGTTTGCTACAGAACAGCCTAGAGCAGGAGTTGGAGTGACTCAGAGTAGGAAAGGCTGTGCAGCATGCAACTCCCTGTGTGTGAATTTGCAGGAATAATGAGCCTTATTCTGATCATCTGAGTTCAGCTCCTCCAACTTCATGCTTTCCACTGTTGTGAATCAGATCTATGCTGGAGTCTGTGGTGCTGCCCAGGTTAGCCTGCGGTGATGGGTGCTGTGGGTTAGCCATGGCCATACTCCTTCTGAACTCACTGGCTGTCTAGGGCCAGCCCTGGGTGTGAGGAGGAAGAAAGCTGCTCCCTTGCAGGGAAAGCCCTGTGTCTGTGTGCATGTCTGTTCTCATTATCACTGACCTCAGTGCCGTATTTACTTTTACCTGCTGTGTGATAGGTGCAGTAAAAGAGCACTTTTGTCCGAGGCTGGGGTGTGATTCCACTCTCTCAGAGCCCAAGAGTTGGCAGTAGGTAGCAGCAGGTTGGTCACTAACTCTGGGGTCCCAGAGGGTGCGAGCTGTGTGACTGCCACTGCTTGTGCTATGCTAAGTAGTGGTCACACACCAATTCTGGAACAGCCTTACTAGGAAGGTCTGAAGTAATCTGTCAGTGGCTTAAAGAGTTACTGCTGTGCCACTGAGTCACACTTGCTCACTCATAGCCTTCCCTCACTGCCAAAAATGCTTCAGCACAGA